CTGAGCCATCTCCGTATCCACAGATAGACCAAATGATGTCGTGGTCTTCTTCGAACTTCGAAGGACGAACAACAACGTATATCACACGTAGTATTTCTTTTTTGTGTTTAAACATTAGTTTCATATATTTAATGTCACATTCAAAAAAAATATTATAAATCGTGTAACTTGTAAGATATTATTTTTCCATTGAAAAAAAACGATTTATTTATATATTGTAATTTGGATAAGTGCAAAACTTCAGGAATGACACCTATAGCTTAGTTTGAATAAGATCTCAACTGTCCAGCATTCTTGAATCAGGAATTTTAATTCTCCAAATACTTCATCATCCAAAGATATATAATGATAAGATATGCTTCTTAACTTCCATCTAGAGTTTGTAGAAAGTTTAAAATCACTAACTAAAAAAAGTAGCATGAAAGCATTCTCGACAGAGTGTCAGATGGAATAAGCCTTTTAGTTTTATACTTTTGTAATTAGTGATGTTTATGTTGAATACTCAAAATGTTGATTTATTAGAAAGGTTTTTTTATTCTTTATTTTTTATAACTTCGGTGAAATAACAGCAAAATAGTTTAATTAATAAGTTTTATGACACTGAGTTGGAATCAAAAGCAAAATATACTTTATCGAGTATTGTTTTAGCTAAGCCTTATGTTACGTTTAAGTATTAGGCTCAATGCTTAGACTACAAATAGGCCTACAATTACTTGAATAATCTGGTTTTCACAATAAACAACATTATATACATTTCTATCAATACTAATGATATGATACTGATTTATCTTGTGATTGTTTTTTATATATTTCAGAGGTAGAATCAGTGACACAGCTTTTAGTGACACCAATGGGGGATAAGGAAGGAAGAAAAGTAGTTTCACTGACAGTAAAATACTAAAATTGACATAAATAGACATATTAATTAACAATACAAACCCTTATGTGACCAATTAAAAGAAAAATTCTCAAAGCTCTACAAAAATAAATCAGCACACATCAATGTAAAATTATTATTGCTTTACACTGATATTTTTAACGTTTCAATACTTATATTTAGTCGCCTAACATTCAGAATGCTATGCTCAATAGTTTCATATAGGCTCTCTTAAGGTAGTCAAATGCCTCGTCATCTAATTAGTGACGCGCATGAAGGATTAACGAGATTCCCACTGTCCCTATCTACTATCTAGCGAAACCACAGCCAAGGGAACGGGCTTGGAAAAATCTAGCGAAACCACAGCCAAGGGAACTGGCTTGGAAAAATCAGCTGGGAAAATTAACCCAGATCTGTTGTCAGATTTAATAAGCTCAGTTTAATTAACAAAGAACAAGACTGTTTATAAGATATCAATGACATACAAAGTTAGTTAGGTAACAAAGAACAAGACTGTTTATAATATATCAATGACATACAAAGTTAGTTAGGTAACAATGAACAAGACTGTTTATAAGATATCAATGACATACAAAGTTAGGTAACAATGAACAAGACTGTTTATAAGATATCAATGACATACAAAGTTAGTTAGGTAACAATGAACAAGACTGTTTATAAGCTATCAATGACA